GAATTCCTTTTTATTCTCTCCCTTTTTTGTGTGCCTTAAAAAATGCTTTACTTCTTTTACATATACAAGAGATGATAAAAATGTGGTGAATGTTTAAATAAAAAATGTATTTCGGCAAAAGACACTTCACCATTAATCCCTGTTGAGATACTCAAAATATTCCCCCCTGCAGTGCAGACACACTGATTCCATCATTCTTGGCAATGTGACTTTTAATAATTTTTTTAGTTTAAACGTTCACCAGTTTTCAATCACTCCATGCATATTACCTTTTACCATATTTTAAATTATTTGTCTGTTATTTATTATCAACAGCAATTCTTGCAAAGTATGCTTTTGGACTTATCTGAAAACTTCTGAGAGAGGCAAAGAAAATTCAAATTTGCTCTATTCTCTAAATGAGTAATTCTAATTTAAGGTCAATGTCATCATATGACAAATAGATAAATAATTGCTATTACTAGCAAAGTTTTAAAAGTGGAAATATGGATAGGAAATGAAAAGCAAAATTGTTAATACTTTGTAATGTACAACAAAATTAAGGAATGGTCCAGCATTCAGTAATTATGAGACATATTACCATGGTGGAGAGGTGTCAAGAGAAATAAATGTTGATTTCAAACTTTAAGAAGCTTGCAATCTCCACCATGAGGCAAGGCATAACCACATAAAACATTTAGTGCAATGTTTTATTTTACGTTATGTGGTTGGAATTTACATTATATGAATCTATTTGGAGAAAAATGTGTCACTTGTTCATTCCCGGAATTTTTTTGAATAAATTCTTTTTCACTTAGACCAATATATTAAAATGCGTACAGAACAAGTTATGTGGAGGAAGTTTTTCTTTAAAAAGAAAAAAGAATTATATTGCGATATAAAAAACACTTTAACAAAGGTAACATAATGTGAATAATAGTGAAAATTCAATTCATTTCAAATTTGTTTGAATTATAATAAATGATACATTTGAGAACTTTTGAAAAGTGTTTGAAAATCTTGTACATGTAAATGCACTACTAGATTTTCTAATTTTCTTATATTTAGGTCTCTAAAATGTCTCACTCAAAGTCTGTTTCCCTTCCCCAAGGAACATGCAAATAAAACTGCCTGTGACCTAACTGTAGCTTTCACAAATTACTAGCAGTGATTTAAAGAGCCTGTGCAAACGAAAGCTCTTTTAAAAGGGGTATAAGCAGAATTTATAAAGGTCTATTATTGCAAAAGACTGGAGGCTTTGAAGTTCAACGTTGGGAAAAAATAGGAAGAAAGTTAAGAAAAGATAAAAGCTGAGTCACAGGAAGAGAGAAGTAAACTTCACCACACCGGTTTATAATTTTGTATTTATGAGAACATCTCTAGTCTCTTAATAGCCTTGAAAGTAGGTACCACGTTTCCCTCATTTTCCATCCCGGCTCTGAATATGGCATCTAGCACTTGATGGGAAATAATACAGTTAGCGCATTTCTGTGTCTCTGTCTCTCTGTGGCTCTTTCTCTCACACACACTTGTGCACACACACTCACTCACACACATCAGACAGCAAAATCAAAAGAGAGCAAGGACACATGTGGCCGAGCGAGCGTAGGCAAATCAAACATATTTTGACTTATCTTTTGTTATGACTTTAGCATCTGAAAAGTATTTCAAATAGCCTGACCAAAGCAGCTTTATTTTTAAGATGTAAAGTAAAACATTCAGAAACTAGCAATTTCCTGCTTCATAGGAACAGAACTCATAGTTGGCTCCAGTGTGAGAAGGAGTCACGTCAACATTTTTGCTAAAATCGTGGACCTGAATGTTTGCCTGTGCTCCTAAGTGACAAGCTCCAGCCAGTCAAATGCATGTGACAGGGAGTTGTGCCCCTCCAGCATGACCCATACCTGCCCCCTACTCTGAGAAGGGCTCCTCCTGGTTCTGTCAATCAAGTAGGACTGCCAGGACTACACAGTTTGGAAGTCATGTTTCAAAGATGGCAGAATTTCTGTCAACCTCTTGTCCATTACTTATTGATCCTTGAGGTCAGTTTCTGGTCCCAGTGACCAGAAACACCACCTTAGTTATGTAAGTGAGAATTTGACTTCTATTGTTGTCTTAATTACTTTTGTTGCTGGGACAAAACACCCGACACTCAACATTAAGGAAGAAAAGGTTTATTTAATTCAGTTTGTGGAGGTTTCAGTCCGTAATCAGCTGGCTCCAAGGCAGGGTGGCAGGGCACAGGGGCAGCAATTCAAAGCAGCAGAAGACAGCAAAATCAGCAAGAGCAAAAGCAGGGGCAGGAAGCCTCCTTTCCTTCCCTTGTATTGTATGTCAGCTATCACCCCACACCATCTCCTTGCCTTCCTCTTCCACAAACTCAGGATGTTTACAAAGTAAGAACCCTGGATGCTTGCTGAGTTGTTCAATTTAACTTCTGAACTGCTCAAGTTGATACAATGTATCCATCATTACAATTATGTTTCAACCATATGCATGTTGGGGTCTATTTGAAACAGTACCTAGAATTTGTATAATGTGCCATTCTTCAAATACATCTTGAATATGTGCCTGGAATCATTCATTTAGCTTTTCATTCAATAGCACCTTTTCTAAGTACTTATTCACTGTCCCACTGATTCTCTTGGTAGATAGGATGCAAACAAATCACTAAGAAGAATATCCGGATCCATACACATAGCACAACAACATTTACAGGTCAGAGAAATGTGTTTGTGTGCTCCATCTCATTACCTGGTATCCCAGGAGATAATATCAATAGGATGAAACATTAAATGACTACAAGCAATAGAAAAAAAGTATTATGACTTAGAAGACAAAATCAAGTTCCCCTGATCTCTCATTAGACATGACAGATTGGAAATCATGCACGTCATTAGGGATGGTATGGTCAGGGGACTCCAGAATGAGTCTTGCTGAAGTGAGCTTGTTGCTTGACTTCTCCCTAAAAGTTTTTTTTTTTTTTTTAGTTATATAATGCTCTGTTTTGCCTACCTATTTTTTATTTTAAAGATTAAAAAAACTAACAAAACAACAATGAAGACAAAATCAAAACAAAAACAACAAAAGGAATACAAGACCTCAAAACAAAATGATAGAAATTTGCAATGGTTGCTACATTACATACTGTTATCCTCAACGAAATTGCTCAGTCCACCAGACATAAGAATGTAAGATAAATCAAACAATCAAAGACAGTAGCAAGTAATGAAAAAAAAAAAGCATTGGAAATGATGCAAAGCTTCACTGTACAAGATGGTAGGAGCTCAACAATGGTTCTTATACTGCATATTGTTGTTTTCAGATCAGTTGATCTGATGACCAGATTCAAGCATGCAAAATTGGTCAAGAAAAAAGAAAATTTTAAGCATTGACTGTTCCTTTCAATAAACCACAGACATTAGCAATGCACCTATCTCAGCTATCCCTATATATACACATATAAATTGTGTTTTTCATTTTAGAGAGAAAAGAAAAAAACCCAAAATAACAAAAACAAATACATAAATAAAACAACATAGAGAACAATAAAAATGATACAGAATTTCAAAACGTGATAGGATATTAACAGTGGTTGTTATATTACATAATGTCATCTTCAAAGTGGTTGCACATATAACCAGATCTCCATAAAAGTTTTTTGAGGACAGTTCCTAGCTTTGAAAAGTCTTTTAAATGTCTGCTACCACTGCTGCCATTTGTCTTTGGCAATATTAGCCCTTGCCTTATCTTTCCTGCCTCTGCCTCAATACTCAGTTTTATTTTGGAAGCAGAATGACAGACACCCATCACCACCAATGGAAAGCAGGGAGCAGTCTTGTCCAAGAATTAATAAAGACCACATTTAATCAAGGAAGAATAGGAAAATGAAGTAGAAGGAAAGATGATCTAGTTTCCTATTGCAAACTTCAGAAGTGCATGCAGAATTGCTAGGCTAGATGGAACTGGTTTTAGAGAAGAATAAAGAGAAAGTACAACTGGAAATATCTAACTTATAACACAACGGGCCTGGAGAGGCTTCCAAGTGCCTTCAGTAGAAAGCTGCCTTCGTTCTTAGAGATGCAAATGTGGTCTTCTGTTCGGGACATCTGTAGTCCACATGTCCTTTGCTAATCGTGCATAGCCTCAAAAAGACTCTAATCTTTCTCTTGCTTTTGTCATGGCTTCTTGGCCACCCCTTGCGTGTTCCTGAGGCTCACCCTAAGAATCCTGTGGCCCCATTTCTTTCTTTTAATAAATTTTTTTTTCTCAAGCTCAGAGATTAACAGTCCCTTTCCTGAGCACAGACAGAACAGGAGGTGGGGGCTGTGCCGCTGCCACAGGGGCTGCACTTTGGGTCTGAGATAACAGAATGAAAGCAGCTGTAGGCTTCTCAGAGTACTCCTGGCACAGAATGCAAACAAGGCACCCTGGGAGGTAGAGGTGTCATTAGGTAAAGTGCTGCATAGTCACCGGCTAAAAATCATGCTCATTCCCCACACTGTCCTGAACCACAGAGTTTTGTAAGCAGTGGTTGCGTTCTCAAGCAGAAGAAAAAGGGGGACAAGCAAAAAAAACCAGTAGCAACACCAAGGTTCCAAAAATCGACCATTTAGACAAGACAGAAAAATCACAATGTTGCATTTTATTTTACCTATCTAGATGTCACTACACAAGAAGGCACAGTCAACTACTTCAATAGCATAGCCCTGTGACTTACACCTATGGTGACCTAAATATTACTGAATATTATAAATATTCATACATTGAATTTTAACAATATTAAGAGAAGATGTGATTGAGTGGGAAGTATGCTAAACTTAGAAATTCTGAATATTCTTTGATCGACCATTGATGAAGAATATTATTTACATTATTAAACTCAAGTTTATGAAATAATCACGTTCACTGGTAATTACAGATTCATTATATGTGCATTTTGCCATTTCCTTCCCCAAAATTCTGTAAGTAATCCAGCTAAGAAGGTCTAACAGAAGATAAAATGCAAATTACTTAATCACCTGTATATCAAACTTCACTTTCTTAACTGAACATCAGGTCCCCAAATCTAAGAAGGGAAAGACCAAGAGGTGATATGTAATTCACAGACCATACTAGAGTTCTATAAGTAATTATATTGGGAAGCAAAAGTTAGATAAAATAATACAGATAAATATTATTTCAATATCATTCATGTAAAAGGTCAAAAAGTGAGGAGGAGAAAAAATAAATTTCCAAGTTAAAAAAAAAGGCAGAACAAGGAAAGAGAAAAGAAGAACTAGAAACAGAGGCAAGGGAGAAAAGTAAAACAAACATTTGAGATTAAAGTTTAATTAAACTACAATGCCATTTAAGTATCCCACAATGGTGGCTAAAGCGCAGTCCCTGGGCCAGCATCACCCAGGAGTTGTTTAGAAATGTTCACCTTCTAGCCCAACACTAGACCTGAGAAATCAGAAACTACAGTTATAGAGCCAGAACTCTGAATTTTCATACAACCCCCAGAGAATTCTCATCTGCCCAGAAATTTAAGAATTTCTACATTAGCAAAAAGAAGTTATAATTACTGATTAAACACTTACTAATAAAAAAAAAATAGCTCTGCTTAGTTAAGTAAAATGGCACATTGCTGATGTCAAAGGCACACAGGAAGCTGAGACAGGAGGATCACAAATTTATGCCTGCACGATTTAGTGACTTCAGGAGAACTTGTATCAAAATTTTTTAAAAGTATTTAAGGGGTGAGGCATATCACTCAGTACAAAGGCCTATATGTTTATTCTAAATCATAGTATTAGTACCACATTGCCTATTGATTAATAAAAAATGGATCTTTTACCATAAAAAGGTTATATTTAATTACTAAGCTCTGTGTAATTAAATAAGCCAGTTCCCAGAATAGGGTAAGGAAACATTCAAGTACATACAGAGGATACAAAAAAGTGACTGTTATTTTATTTTTAATTATGTTCTTTAGATTTGTGTCTATAAATAACAAAATCTTTTGAAATTATTAGAATAAGAACATGGAAACAGAAGAGTTGAAAAGACACAAACCTCGCCTGAGATTAGATGCTAGGACCACAAGGGCACCTTTGCTGAGATAAACATGTCACTTGCCTCTTCTCCAGTGAAAATTTTTGGCCTAACACTCGCTTATGTCAAATGTATTTTTATATCTTTCAGATGAGTTTGAGGTAGAAAAACACACTTTAATCAAATATACATGTAGTATATTTCTTGTAACAATGAAGTGCCACTAGCAAGAAACAAAACTGGCTTCAAATTATTTGATGCTTTCTTTTTACCAACACTGAATGGAGAACTTAATAATTTTTAGCTTTAATTCTCACAACTACCCTTTAGAGTTGAGCATTATTCCCATTCACTGTGGGAGACCCTGACTGACCTCCATTGTATATTAGTAGCCGTCTTAAGCATTAAGTTTCTGTTGTCTGAGATAAGTTTCTGTTATCCTGCCTACTTCCCCGAAGTGATGCGCCTTTCCCTTTAAGTCAGGACTGCCCACAGTTACCTAGCTACTCCCGCCTTTGTCTGGTTACTTGGTTACTCCCGCTGTAAGAACTTCCGCGTTTCCCCGCGCCCTATATATACGCGGTACTTCCTGCCAATAAACGAGACTTGATCAGAATCCTGTCTTGTCTCCATTCTTCGTGTCTCTTGTCCCTTTATAATCCCCATTCCTCCTCTAGGGTCCTCGTTGACTGTACCCGCGGGCCGGGACAATTCACTAGTTCATATTCCAGGATTTGGAGGCACTAAGTGGTTGTGTTAGACTCTGTGTGTAGTAGTTCGTCGAGCTTGGATTTTACCCTAGGACTTCAAGAGCCTAACCAACAACCTCAGTCCTTTTCTCACAAGCAGTGTTTAGAGTTCTACAGAGCCTTTATGGCCAATAGAATTGGTCAGTAGTACATCACAGTAATAACAGTAATACACCACAAATTCCTGGTAAATCAGCAAAATTCAAAATTTCTTACTAACAAAGAACCAAAAACTAAGGATAGAGTCTGAGCATTTAAGGGCTCAGCTTAGGTGATCAACTGTAAGGGGAATAAATGCGGGGCAGTTCCCAGCAAACTAGGATGTTCACTTACCCTGCACATAGTGGAATAAGAGACAGCAGAAGATAATGAGCCAGAGCAATCAGAGAGCTAAAACCTGGAGTGTGATGTCACAAAGAGGAAATACGGGTCATCTAAAGGAGTGAAAATCCGGAATTTCAGAGGTTTCCAAGTCAAGAGTATGAGTTAGGAACGCACCTCCCAGGAGGGCAAGCCTGGCCCTGGAAGCATTTTCAACACAGCAGAAAACACCAGAGCCCAAAACATTGGACAGAAAGTGGTGGGTGAGCAGTAAGACCAAGAATTTGCAAAGTTTAGCAAAGAAACACATCCAATATCTAAGAGAAAGGCAAGATTAGGGACAGATTACAGTTCATGTGTTTAAGGAATGGGAAAACATAAGCATTTTTAAAGTAGGAGGAGAAAAAGTAAATAGTTTATGAAGCTGGACATGATTCACGGCTACAGCAAGGTAACAGAAGAAGTAAACATAGAAGCCATCACTTAACCCTTATAGAAATATGCATTATGTGCCAAGTAGATCTAGGGTTAAAAACATTATCAAGCATAGGTTACCCCTTGTGAGCTCATAGCTCTGACAAATGAATTTACTTATATCATCATATGAAGTCCCTGCTGAAGGGACAACAAATTAACCTAAATAAAATTTGACTGGTAGTAACCCCTAACAATAAGTATATGCTTTCTTGAGAACTAAAAATAGATAGCTCAAAGAAATTTAATGTACTAGAAAAATGAAATGTTTCAAGTGGTTTTCTTCATATTAGTTGGCAAAATTCTCCTTGATTTTAACTATATTTATAGAAATAGTCATGGTCAGTTTTTATGAAAAAAATATGTGACTTTCCTTTTATATCCACTGCCCAGGGTAGAGAAGACTTAATGCTATTTATAAATAGCTATCATAACTTCCTTTTAATACATATGTCTCTAAAACTAAATGCCTACAAGAAAGAGGACCTCAGAAAAACTATCTATGGCCTTCTACCTTTCACACAATCTAAGAAAAAAGAAAAAATAGCTACATTTTTTTTAAAAGTCTTTAGTTTTATATAAAATTCTTTGTCCAAGTACTAAGACCTGATGATGCTAAGTTCAACTTATAATTTATAGCTTAAGCTTAAAATAATACTTTTTATTGCACTCAGCAGTGGCTAGAGAATCAGGACAATGTCTTAGGTTATAAATGATCCACAAATGCTCATCAAAACAGAACTCAAACAGATTGCCAGATGTAAGAATGTAAGACTGATCAAACAAAGACAATAATAAGGAATTAAAAAAAAACCATTGGAAACAATACATGGTTTCACCACACAAGACGGTAGGAATTCACCAACGGTTCTTATACTGCATGTCGTTGTCTTCAGATCAGTCATTCTGATTACCAGGTTCAAGCATGCAAAATTGTCAAGAAAGAAGAAAATTTTAAGCATTAACTGTTTCTTTCAATATACCATAGACATCAGCAATACACCTATCCCAGCTATCCTTGGACATATGTAATGTAGCAACCATTGTTAATTCCTACCATTTTATTTTGAGGCCATTTATCATTTTCATTGTTTTTGTTTTTGTCCTTGTGGTTGTTGTTTTGTTATTTTTTTTCTTTTTAAAATGAAAAAAAGACTGAACTCAAACAGAAGATGCCATAAAGTAGCCAAAAAGCTAAGCACAATTTCTAGAATAAAAGTAAGAGTTAAATAAAGGTTAGTTCCTTTGAAGCTCTGAACTTTTTTAAAGTGGAATCAAAGATTTATTTCTTCCCAATTTATTGTTCCCAATTTCATAAGAAAGTTAACCCATGGCAATAAAAAAGGGCATATCAACTTTTAATCAATTGATGATTATTTCATCAGTAAATTCAAAGAATAAAATTTGCTTTTTATTTTACCCACTTGACCAATTCTTTGGCTGAGGAAACCAATTTGACTCATCCAGTACTCAAAAGAGAAATATTCAAGGTATTATCATGTGAGATGATAACTAGCATGACCTTGTTTCCTATGAAACCCCAGTAGTCTGATTTGATCTGATATACACAATCCGGTTATAATTGCAGTTAAAATAGCATTATTTGTAATTAAAAATAAGATCAGAGAAACACTAAAAGTTTTACTTTTGATGAAGTATTACAGTTAGCAGTGCAACTCTACAAATTCTAAAAATTGTTTTAACCAAGTCTATAGGTAAAAACAGAATTACTCACAATTAAACACTGTACATAATGAACATGTACAGGGCTGGGGATTTATCTCAGTGGCAAAGCACCTGCCTGGCAAGTGCAAGGTCATGAGTTCCGTTCCTGGTACCGGAGAAAAACCAAAAAAAAATAATAATAATAATGAACGTGTACAAATGTATAACATATTTTAAATGCTTCACTTTCTAATGGCTGAAATTGTTGCAGTCAGGGCTGAGTGATTAACACAACAGATTAGTCTAGTGGCCCTATTAGATTCTAGCACATTACTTTTCCTCTATGATCACCCACATTCATTCAATCAGCAAGACAAATTGCAACCAGGTGTGGTGGTACACACCTGTAATTCCAGCACTCTGATAGACTGAGCCAGGAGGGTTCCAAGTTCCAAGCCAGGCTACGCAATTAAGCAAGACCCTGCTTCAAAGGAAACATTGAAAAAGGCTGGGGTTGTAGTTCAGTGCAAAGTCCCCAGGGTTCAGTCCCCAGTACTGCAAAACAAGCAAACAAAATAAAACAAATAAAAATGCATCCTTGCCTCCCTGGTGCTGTGCTTCACCGCTTGGGCTCAGTGGGACAGATGGGTGTGCGTTGCCATTGGGCCCCTTCATGGACTGCAGCACAATGGCAGTCATCAAAACATATACCAGCTAAAACAAGAAAAATGTAACCGCATCAGAAAAACCATCTGTGTACATAATTAAGTGACATCCTTGGCTAGTACAAAGTATAGTTTGGAATTTTGCTAAACAAACGTTTGAAAAACTTATAATCAGAAGTATGTGTTACATCACACCCTGTCCACCAAAAAGTGTCACAGAGTATCAAAGCTGTAAATTTTCATTGGTATTTTTATTAGGATACTAAGTTATTTCAATGTTAGGCAACTCCCATGTGTTCACAAATCTTAGGTAATACTTACTGGATAATCCTTCTTTATTAATGGAGTAGCTCCCCGAATGGTACTAATTCTCAAATTAGTATTAAATATTGACATGTCAAACTTCATGTAAAACAGGTGCTCATTTTCTTACCTTTTCTCACAAAATAAAATGTAGAAAATCTTAGTAATTAGATGATAGATCACAGTTACTAATAGTTATAAGAGCCAGGCGTGGTGGCACACACCTGCAGTCCCAGCACTGAGGAAGCTGAGGCAGTGGAATCGTTCAGTGTTTGAGGCTGGCCTGGGCTACAAAGTGAGCTCAAGGCCAGCCTGAACTGCATAGCAAGACCCGGTCTCAAAAAAAGACAAAGAAAAATAGTTATAAGAGTAAAATGACTCAAAAATATTTATATTTACCTTTCTTCTATAAAAAAATGATTTGAAATTGGAGCTTATTTCATAAAAGAAAAGAGCTTCTAACATATCTGATGTTTGCTTTGGCCTCTTTCTCACTCGCCCCATTCCTTTCACCTTGCATTGAATTATTTCTTGTTGGAGAAATCAATTACTCTCCTTTCTCTTCTTTGTCTACCTCATCACTGTGTTTTGCCATCTTAATGTCCCTCAGGACTGTCCAAAAGAAGGCATGAGATTCAAGAAATTTAGTTTGTCACCTGGCTTTACCATTTGATTTGTTACCTAGTCATTTTCCCCTCCCTCAAACTCGTATGAAAAACAGAGAATGCCAGGTGTGGTGGTACACACCTGTAATCCCAGTACTCAGGAGGCTGAGGCAGGAGGATCATTAAGAGTTTGAGGCCAGCTTGGGCTACAAGTGAGCTCAAGGCCAGCCTGAACTGCTTAGGGAAACCCTGTCTCAAAAAGACAAAAAGGAAAAAAAAAAAAAAAAAAACAGAGAAAGTGCTAAAAAGCCATGTTACTCTATTGTTAGAATGGAGTCTGTTGGTTGCATAATACAAGATATAAACATTTTTGCACACAGAATTTTAGACCACTTTCAAACTTCTTTTTTCTTACTCCTTTTGTATTTTTTATTGGGAGACACTAACAGCACTCCTGTAGAGAAATTTCAGGGGACTGTACTGACCCAGCCTGTGCAGAATTGGTGTAAAGCTCTCAGTACTTCTCACAGCCTAGGAAGGGGAGCTTGGATTCTAATCATTTCACTACTGGTCTTTCTTTGCATTGAACCAAGGCTATGAGATTCTAAGCTTGGCCCTGGCAAAGCAGATGCTGATAGGCTTAGAATATGGTTTGGTGTTTAGGCTCTGAAGCCCATCATTTACAACACACTTCCACAGGTTCTTGGGAGTACATTCCGTTCTTTTTCAGTCTGGCTTACTCAGGACAGTTGACCTCACACTGGTTTCTAGTGTCACAAATCTTAGTGCTCTGGTTATCTCTTAAATTTTCATAAGCAAGCATTCCCCTGAGTTCCAGCCATACCGCACTTGGAGTCTTCACCCTTTCTTTTCCCCAGCCCCCCTCCAGCAGAATTCATCACTGCCAGGAGTTGAGAAATTTTCCTTCTTTCCTTTTCAAACTTCAATTGCAAATCTTTGGTTGTACCTTGTCTGACTCCTTGATTGTACCAGACTTCTAAGAAAAGGTACCCAGAATGTCTTCAAGGACTCACATCTGCACAATTTTATTTTTCCTTCCTCTCCTTCCCACCCCTCTTCGAGGACTGGAGAGTCTCTGTAGAAATCTGTAGACCCACCCTTCTCTCTCCCATTCCATCTTTCTGTAAAATTCTCTAGGAATTTAAATGTTTAGGAACCGTATCAATCTGACTCCCTTGTCACTAACTTTTAGCTGGTTGGCCAGTGGAGGGTATGACAGCCAGAAAAAGACACCAGTCAGAATTCCAACTGCAGGGTGTGTAAGTGATCAACAGGCTCAGCTGGTAAATTCTGAAATCCATCCCAAAGTCTTACTTCCCAGAGTCTGCTCCCAGGAAATTGCTCACTGTATCTGTGA